TAAGCACAAAAAGGACTTAGACCTAGAAGGCAGGAGGAAGGAGACAAAGAAAAGCCAAGGAGAGGAAGCAAGAAACACCAAAGCTGAAAGGTGGGGAAACAGGATGTGTTCAGGATGGGTTGGAAATTCGGTGGGAACCTAGGATGGATGCGAGGGGATGGCATGGATGGAAGGCACACTGGGACACATGGAGGTCTTGAATATTTCCCTCAAACCTCTTGCTCAGCTCTAATGACATCATTTTTCTAGAAGACGCCCTTACCCTTTTCCCTGCCAAGAGATGCGCCTCACCTCCTCAGCCAGCTACCCCACTGCCTCCACCCTCTGCTTTCTGCTTCTGCCTTAGCCTGCAGGCCCTCTTCCCAGGGCAGAGTAGACGCCAGGTCCCTCAGGACTGGAGGATGGATGGTACTTGGTCCCTCTCAGCTCAGCCTCCAGTCTCTGGATTCCCCATGCCCAGGGATGAGCTGCACAGAGTGGGCTCCCTGTGTTGCTCTTCACCTGCCAAACCCTTGCTTGGCCCCCTCCCTTCAGAGAAAAGTAAAAAATGGATGCCAGAAACAGCTAGGCATGGTCCAACCTGTTATAAGAGTGTAAAAAAATTTTTACCCTGGAGCTATTTGGCTCTTCGCCACCTCACCCACCTCCACATCCTTCCCTCCTCCTCTGGGAGTTCCATGGTGCACCCAGGCTTTGCCATAAACTCCCTTCCATGCTATCCCCACAGCAAGCCTAGGACTGGTTTGAAGGTACCCCTTGCCTTCTTCCCCAGTCCCCAAAGTCCTACCCAGATCTCTGTTTGGGTACACCACCTGGAATTCTGTAATTGTGAGGTGGGAAGACCTCCACTTCTCAAAAGGACTGAATCCTAAACATTGGAGAAGAGTTGCCTTCCCGCTTAAACATCAACAGAGGAAACTTGGTAACCATGTGGCTCCTAATTCACTGAGACGATAGAGGCCTTTCCCCGTGAGTCTCTTCAATGCCCCACTCTTCCACAGTAAAGCACCTCTGCAACCTTAGTCCTGCATCTATCAACCGCGTATGTGTCTGAGCACTTCCTATGTGAAAGGTTCTGGAGTCATGGCTGGGAGACAATCCTGGCCCCAAGGTGCTCGCAGTGGGAGAGAACAAGGCAGACACACACAGAGAAAGTCAGACTGCAACAGTACCCCGACAGATGCAAGAACCCTGTTTCTGAGGCAGAGCCATTCCCCTGAGGTCTTGATCCTATTCTTGCTTCATCAATTGCCCCATTTATTACATCTCCAATCCCTTTCCATAAGCCTAGAGCAAGGGTCAAGCAAGCTACTACCCACAAGCCAAATCCTGCCCTATGCCTGCTTCTTTGTAAATAAAGTTCATTGGAACACAGCCACGTTCATGTTCATTTGGTTACGTATTGTCTCTGGCTGCTTTCGTACTACAAAGGCAGAGTTGAGTGGTTGCCATAAGACCCTATGGCAAGCAAGGCCTAGCATATTTACTCACTGGCTCTTTACAACAAAAGTTTGCCAACATCTAGTTTGTGGGAAGAGTTGGACCCTGTTATCAGAAAGATGTAACAGAACTCAAGAAAAGCAACTGAAGTTACCTTGAGAAAGGGAGTGAAAGGACACAGCCCAGACTCTTCCCACAGCCTCCCAGGAAAGTTCCCACAATGCTACTTGGTTTTCTGCACCTCTCCTTCCTGTCCTACCCATTGCTATTTCTTGTTCATTTTTATTGAATTTATTGTGGCAACATTGGTTAATACAATTATATAGGTTTCGGGTGTACAATTCTATAATGCATCATCTGTACATTGTATTGATGTTCACCACCCCAAGGTCCATCATCACTCATCCCCCACTATACCTTCCTCTACCTCTCCCCCACCCCATTTCCCTCTGGTAATCACTACTGTCGTCTGTCTATCTGCCCATTCTTAAACCCATGCAGTCTGGCTTCTGCCCCTCTTTTCCGCTAAAATGTTTCCACTGGAACCACCCATGACCTCCTCATTATTGATCCATCCTTCTTTTCTCAGTCCTCATCACATACAACCTCTCTTTGGCATTTGCCTACTTTGGCTATATCAGTCTTAAAACACCCATTGCCACTGGATTGGATTGCCTCTTTCTTACCTCTGTGACTATTCCTTCTCTGGTCCTTTCCCATGGGTCTTCTTCCTTCCCTGGCTGCCTACATGCACACATTCTACAAGGCATTGTCCTTGGCCCTCTTCTCCCTCTATATTCTCTCACTGGACAAAATCATCCAAGTGCCTGAGTTTAACAGCCTTCCGTGTTAGTGGCTTCCAAACATACAACTTGTGAACTAAAGGTGCCCAGATTGCTAACAGAAGGCTGTGCCTTCCCGGACACGTCTTACTGACCAGATGAGCTGAATTCCTCCAACGTCAAACACAACTTCCCACACCACTGCCCTCACCTAATCACCTTTGCCTCTTCTTCCATCTGCCCATTAATTGTTGCTGTTCCCAAAAGATCTACCCTTGGCCCTTCTCTCTTTGGGAGTGGTTTCACCCATTCTTATAGTCTCGTCATGTGTGTACATGAATCACTGCCCCATCTCCATCTCCAGGTGTATTTGCAGCTGCCTCCTTAGGTTCCCAAATACCTGTGTAAGGTAGACATCTGGTGCCTTTGCCTGCCCAGATCCCATTCTCCTTCTGATAACTACACTTGAACTTCCCTTTGGGAAGACACTTATTCCCTGCTTTTGCTCCTTAGGGCTGATATCAGGCTGATGTCACCGGCCCCTTCAGGAAGAGTCACACGCCCAGGTGTACCAGTTGTCTGTTGCCGTGGAATAAAGAAGTCCACAACCTGGTGGCTTAAGACAACACGTTTATTTTCCCACAGCTTCTGTGGGTCAGGCATCTTGGCAGGGCTTAGCTGGGTCCTCTGATCGTGAACTCTCATGAGGTTGCAATTAAAGTATCACTCAAGGCCGGAGTCTCATCGGAAGACTTCACAGAGAAGGATTTGCTTCCAAGCACGCTCTTACAGCTGTCGGCGGGATTCAGTTCCTCAAGGGCTCTTGGACCACGGGCCTCAGGTCTTTGGCGGCTGTTGGCTGGAGGCCACCCTCAGTTCCTTGCAATGTGAGTGTCTCTCCTACGGCAGCTTGCATCACCCATCTCAACAAGACAGTCTGATAGCAAGTTGGAAGTCACAATCTCTTGTAGTAACCTAACACAGAAGTGACAACCCCTCAACATTGCCATACTCTATTGGTTAGAAGTAAGTTGCTCTCCCTTCCTGTAAGTGGCCTGAAGCGACATCGGAAAATAGTTCACTATTCACTTGACCCAGAAAACCCTACAAAATCATGCAAGTCAAGAGGTTCGAATTATTGTGTTCACCTGAAGAACACTCGTGGAACTGCCTAGGCCGTGTTACAAGGGTAGAGTCAGAAGGTGTGCCCACGACAAACAGCGGGACTGGATGTGAGGTCGGAGGCCCAAAAAGAGTGCTGAATTTTTGCTGCACATGCTTAAAAATATAGAGAGTAAGCCCTGGCTGGCGTAGCTCAGTGAATTGAGCGCAGGCTGCGAACCAAAGTGTCACAGGTTCAATTCCCAGTCAGGGCACATGCCTGGGTTACAAGCCATAACCCCCTTCAACCACACATTGATGTTTCTCTCTGTCTCTCTATCTCCCTCCCTTCCCTATCTAAAACTAAATAAATAAAATCTTTAAAAAAATGTAGAGTAGCCGTGGCTGGTGTGGCTTAGTGGATTAAGTGTCAGCCTGCAAACCAAAAGGTCGCCAGTTCAATTCCCAGTCAGGAAATATGCCTGGGTATGGGCCAGGTTCCCAGTTGGGGGTGTGTGAGAGGCAACTGGTTGATGTTTTTCTCCCTTCCTTCTCCTCTCTAAAAAATAAATAAAATCTTTTTAAGAAATGCACAGGGTAGTGCTGAGCTTAAGGGTTTAGATATAGATTCCCTGTTCAATGAGCATATCCAGTTGAACAAGTCTCCCAAGATGCAGCCCAGAACTTACAGGGCCCACATGTGGATTTACACATATATGAGCTCTCCCTGCCACATGGAGATGATCTTTCCTGAAAAAGAGCAGATTGTTTCTAAACTAGAAAAGGAGTTTGCACAGAAGAAAGTGCTATCCCAGAAGAAACTGAAGAAACAAATGTATCCCAGGAATAAATTCAGCCCAAAATAAATGCTAATAAAAGTAAAACAAACGGCCCTGACTAGTGTGGCTCAGTTGCTTCCGCCAGGGCCCACAAAGCAAGAGGTTGCTGGTTGGTTCCATTCTGAGTCAGGACAGACGCATGCCTGGGTTTGGGGTTCTTCCCCTGTCAGGGTACGTGAGTGCGAGAAGCAGCCGATCGATGTTTCTCATATCAATGTTTCTCTCCCTCTCCTCCCTCCCTTCTCCCATCCTCTCTCTCTCCAGAAAAAAAAAAGTAAAACAAACAAAAAATAGAAATAAGTTACTCAAGAGGTGGGGATTACCCAAGAGTATGGTTACTAGGAAATGGGATCACGGGGGGGCCAACTTACAGGCTGCCAACCACAGCAGAGTTAGCCTAAATCACTGTCACTGACTTCAGCATGGGTGTCCAATCAGAGTCAATCCTGCTTAGACCTGAGATGTTTACTGGCACCTGTGGGAATGTGGCATTGATGGCAGAAGAAGGTAAGCTTGAAAATGGGAAAGGATCTGCCTCAAGTGAAAACATAATAAAGCACAAGAAGGCAAGAGATGGGGAAAGACAGATGCTGGATAGCATCATTGGAGAACTGAGACAGCCACGCCTACAGCAGAACCTCTGGGTTTTCAGTTGTGTCAGTAAACCAAGGCATTCCCTCTTCTACTTATGTTGGTATCAGTTGACTTCTGAAGTCACCGACAACCAAGAGACTGCTCACTGATGAACTTGTCTCAGAGATACCTCGGATTCAGTTTGCCCAAACCCAATTTACTTATCTCACCTTCAGCTTTCCCACAAACCCACTTCTCTTTCTAGGTTCTAGTTTGCAGCTGAAAATAGAACACAATTGTTTAGGCCGATAACCTTGGAGCCATCTTTGCTCTTCCTTATCCTCTGTGGAAATTGGCACAGCCCGTGCAACGTGGATGGATTCTACAGAACCACAGAACAGACTTTCTGCTTTGCAATGACAGGGGAGGCCCTAAGGTGACCCAATGACACTCACTCTTAAATATAGGTAAGCAAGGGACTCTAGGTTTTTCTTCAACTCATTAGAATCTTACAGAATTTCTGGATGTGAATCACATGACTGAGAGGATGAGAATAGTGTATCTGACTCTCATATCAAAACACACCATAGACTAAAATGAAATTCTGGCACCCTGCCTAGTGAGCTTGTGGTTTGGAAGTCATCCTGGGCTGGCTTTGTGAAAATATTCCTTTTGTGTCTAAGGCAGATTAAAAGAAATTCTGCCGTTTGAAAGTCAGTCATGGTTTTTTATGCCTTTCTCCTTAGGGTTCCAATCCTAATTCTAACATTTACTTTTCCTTCCCCAGGCCACCTCGATCCACGTCGTCTCCAACCCTGTGCACTCCAGCGCTCAGGTGTGCCCTGTTCTTTCCACCCCCTGCCAGTGTAACACCCACCTCCACAGCACAAACCTCACATCATTCGTCTGCCTCAACAACTATGCTGGCTCCCTAGTGCTGAGACAATGCTTCCTAATGTTTATTGGGTCACAGACCCTTCTTTAAAAACTGATGAAACTGTGCGTAACTCTTTCTGGAAAAATCTGTACTTTGGGTTTTGCTGAATATTTCAAGCGCAGCATGAACCCTCTGGAGCCCATGTCTGTACCCTACCACCTGACAACATATCCTCTCATGTCCCTCAAGATGAGACCTTCTTTTTTAAAAAGATTTTTTTTTCCTGGCTGGCGTAGCTCAGTGGATTGAGCGCGGGCTGCAAACCAAAGCATCGCAGGTTTGATTCCCAGTCAGGGCACATGCCTGGGTTGCAGGTCATGGCCCCCAGCAACCACACATTGATGTTTCTCTCTCTTTCTCCTTCCCTTCCCTCTCTAAAAATAAATAAATAAAATATTTTAAAAGAACTAAAAAAAGATTTTTTAAGATTTATTTTTAGACAGAGGGGAAGGGAGAAAGAAAGAGAGGGAGAGAGAAACCTCAATGTATGGTTGCCTCTCATGCACCGCCTACTGGGGACCTGGCCCACAACCATGTGCCCTGACTGGGAATCGAACTGGCAAACTTTTGGTTCCCAGGCCAGTACTCAATCCACAGAGCCACACCAGCCAGGGCAAGATTAGGTCTTCTTAAAGAGAATATGTTCCAAATTTGTTAACATGACATTCAAGGCCTTCCAAATTTATCCCTACCTGCTTTTTTCCAGCTGCACCTCTGCCTTGGGGGGTTGGGGTTATTTGATGTATGATTCCCCACCAGACCAAGAGCCTCCCTGAGAGTAGAGATTGTCCCTTTTCATTTTTCCTTGCTTTATCTTCCCAGATGAAATGGAAGTTTCTCAAGAGCAGCAATCAGAATGCCCAGAATAGTGCTGGATAAATTGTTGGTTCACTGCCAGATTTATTTTTAATTTATTTTATTGTGGTAAGAACACTTAACCAGCACTTACCACGAGATCTACCCACTTTAGAAATTTTTAAGTGTACAGTGCAGCATTGTGGACTATGGGGTAAATGTTATATAGCAGATCTCTAGAATGTATTCACCTTGCTTAACCAAAACTTTATACTGGTTGATTAGCAGTTCCCCATTTCTCCCCTCTTCACCCTTTGGTGACCACCATTTAATTCTTTGATTCTAAGGACTCGACTATTTTAGATGTCTCATGTAAGTGGAATCATGCTGTGCTTGTCTCTCTGGGTCTGGTTTATTTCACGTGGCAAATTAAACCTGTCCAAAGTGCATCATCGTTATTGCATATTGCAGAATTTTCTTCTTTTTTAAGGGCTGAATAATATTTCATTGTGTGTACATACCACATTTTAAAAATCCACTCAACTGTCGATGGACACTTAGGTTGTTTTCACATCTTCAGGGTTGTGACTGGTGCTGCAGTGAACTGCTGGAGTTATTATTCGATGTAGCAAAAGGGTCTTAGGGTGACGGGCCTAGCTAACATGACGTGATGTGATATGCTTCAAATCCATCTTTGGGGAGAGTTCTATTTTCAGTTTCAGTGGGCCCCATATGTACAAGGACTTCTTAGAACTGTGCCATGATTTTGGTTTAGAACATATAGGTTCCCCCCACCCCCACCCTAGTGAACTTACTGCATTTGCCACTTACCACTGCCAGAAGTCCTTTTTTTGGTAGCTGGGGTCCTTAGGACCCTAGAGAAACTTAAGAAACTGGCCCAGTCGGATTCCTAGGTGAATTAATTGACTTCATATCATAGCTCTGACTCAGCCCAACACCCACACAAGCCAGGGCAGAAGTGTTTCCTATGTCCCTCCAAAATGGGCATTCTGAGGAAATCTGGGACAAGAAAACTGCTCCTCCTTGGCCACATTTCAAAATTCCTCCAACATTTTAGTCCTCCCCCTCCACCTCTGCATACGTGGGGATATTTCATATCCCATGGTAGGGAGTGGAAGAAAGACATTATCAATCCATAAAAGTGCACATTCTGGTGGAGGGGGGTGGCAAGGATTCTGTCTGTCCTGCATGACACTATTCCGAGTGCCAAAAACAATGCCTAGCACATAGTAAGCATTCAGTTAATACTCGTTGCACGAATGAATAAATGAGAAAAATGGGGGAAGTCCATTGATCTTGGCTTCTAATTTGTAAAAGTTTGTCTTCAGAAACCTCTATACTTCCTCTGTGGGCACTTGATATCTTGTGATTTTATCCAACCATAAGCACTGAAGGATGTGGGTTCTGCTGGACATGTCAGCACCGATGGGATGACTTAAACTTTCTCCCACGTGCAACAAAGGCAGCATCAGTAAAGCAGATGCACTCAACACCCTCATGCGATGGTATCAACCTGCTATGGTTTGGGTTATCAGTTAGATTAGATTCTACCTCATGACCCATGATGGCTACTCAAGCTCCGGCCATCATCTTTTATCCCAACCAGCAGAATGAAGGAAGGAGATTTCCCCAAAGTTACCTATGACACTTCTGCATACATCCCATTAGCCAGAACTTAGTCACATGGCCACAGTTAGCTCCAAGGAAGGAAGTCTTTATTTCAGGTTCTATTACAAAGGAAAAAATGGGCAACATAGTGAGGGAGATGTTTGAAATGGTTGGGGTGGGGGGCAGTTTGACATGAAAAGTTGGGCCTTGCCAAACCAGAGAAACCTCTGTGAACTCACACTCCTGTCTATGGAGCGATGGTCACTGCCCAGCACCATCTGAGGGCAGAAGAGTCTGGGACGAGCTTGGAAAGCATGGCTGCTGGAGTCAGATGGCAGTAGGTTCAACTATGTCTCTGGGCCTTTCCTTCCTTTTGTGGGGGGCGGGGTGGGCACAATACCCATTGTGCAAGGTTGTTTTTCTACTGGGAGATCCCTGGGATGGAGTTATTACCCATGAACAGGGCTTTCTTTGGGGTGGTAAAAAATATATAACTTACCCTTGCAACCCTTCTTAGTGTGCAGTACAGCAGTGTTAACTATATGCACATCGTTGTACCACCAGTTTCTAGAACTTTTTCATTTTGCAAAACTGAGAGGTTGCCCCTGCTGAGCAGTCCCCGCCCCCTGCAGCTTCTGGCTGTCACCGTTCTGCGAAGACTTTGACTAGTGTAGATACCTCACACAAGCGGAATCATACAATATTTGTCTTTTCGTGGCTGGCTTATTCATTTAGTAGATTGTCCTCGAGTTTCATCCCTATTGTGGCATATGGCAGGATTTTTCTTTTTTACTACTGAATAATATTCCACTGCGTGTATATGCCACCTTTTAAAAATTTCCCTTATTATTCATCCAGTGGAGCTCTAGATTGCTTCCACCTCTTGGCTATTGCGAATAATGCTGCTTAAAAATGGTGCTTTTTATCAGAGACTAGTTAGTACTAGAGATTGGTTCTCTCCTTTTAATACCCTTGTGGGGGGTGCTTTTTTTTTCTGTATGTAAATAAGTGTTAGGTTAAACATCTTAGGTGGAAATAAAAAAAGGTGGGCGAATACGGAAATTCCATAAGTATCACATATCACTGAGCTGGAAAGGGAAAGGCGCTCCTGGACAATGACAGAGTATAGATTCTCCTTGGGTGGTCTGTTTGAACAGATAAGGAGAGACAATCTATAAAGTTGTCACATTGTTTAATCCGAGAGCGGCTGAACTTCCAGACTCCAGATGTTTACTTACGTGAAGGGTGCAGAACCATCCCCCAGTTCTCCCTGGAGTCCTAAATCCTGACCCCCCAGGGTCACAAGTCTGGGGCAGCTCTGAGGAGGAAGGACCACCCGAAAATGAATGGGTAGTTCCTGCAGTTGAGAGACAACTTGTCAAGGCAAAACCCTAGCTGATCCTAACTATGAGAAGCTACGCTTGGGATTTCCAGTATTCTACCCTACAATGATTTCTTGAGGAGACACATAAAATAAGACTAAAATCAATGTCTTCATTACAAAACAAAGTCTTTACCTACATTTGGACATTACACACTTTGAATCAAAAGTGTTTGGTGTGCATTTGTCGACACAGATGGTGTCAGAGAAACAGGACTGAATCAGGTTCCCAAGGAGCTTCCTAGTAGTTGGAGTGAAAAGGCAAATACTCATGAACTTGGTACGCAATATACAAGGCAGTGTATACTGAGCGTGGTCTTTGGAGGAAGGGGACCTGCTCTTGGCTGGGAAGAGCAGAGACCGACTGGGGGGATGAGGGTTTGCACTAGACTCAGAAGAATGACAGCATTTAAATAGATGAACAGGGTTCAGAGAGGCATTTTGTTTGTTTGTTTTGCTTTGCTTTTTTTTAGCCAATATGTATTTCATATGAAGTATGAAAGTGAGGACAACAGCAAAAAGACACGGTCCCTGCCTTCCTGGAGGTTTCCAAAAATTATTTCAGTGGGGGAGTTGATTTTCCTAACGAGGCCCACACTGCCCTGGCCTCACCCTCCAAGGGAGCCCTGGGGCACCTCCAGGACACTAT